CGATTCTCTCCCCCTTCCCAACAGGGGGGAGTCAGTGAGCAGCTGCGTGGTGCTTAGTTGACACCTGCGGTTAAACCACAACAATGGAGTAAAAAAAAGAGTTGTGTTTTTTCATGACTATTTTATTAAATTTCTTCAAGAAGAGGAGTAATATATATATGCATGATTTTTGAAAAATAATATTTTGTATGTGGTAAAAACAACCATCCTATATTATATTAGGCCTTTGGATAGTTCTTAATCTTGGTTCAGATATTATGCAGTCTCTTCCTTCCTAACTGCAGAAATTTAATCTAATACGAGATGGTTTGAAAATATTGTTTAGATCAGCATACATGAATTAAACAGAAACATTATTAAAGGTTGATGCTGATCTGGCTAGTGATTAGTTATTGATTAATTGCTTTCAATAAACCATTATGATCTAATATGCAAATCCTTTATTCTTTACACATTTATAGCAATTGACTAGTGCCTGCGTGTACCAGGCTGGTTCATAACTCATCCTGACAGAACTTCTCACTGAAGCTTACATGAACAGCCTAATGCATTTTTCTGATCCCAGATACTAATGCTGACTATCACAGTCTGTGTCATTAGCTGAGCAGAAGAAAGAATGATGTTTTTTTCTCCTCCTGTCTCAGCTGAAATAGCTTTTGCTGGATATCTTGTTTAGAAAAGCTAGCACATATGTAGAATCCCATACTGCAGTTCGGACCAGCCTACTTTTTTATCGAACTGTGATTAATGTGCATATTTTATATGAAAATAAAAAAGGTATGTATGTATGTGTGTATAGACACACACATGCCACATTCATACGTACATACACACACAATTGTTTTTGGCTTGATTAGTTGGGATTTATTTTAGCTGGAAACCTGAGAACAGCCAAGATGAATCACTGACAATCTTAGAGGACACGTCCTTTTTTCTAAGCCTAACAATATGCAGCCAGATGGCTCCACTTGTAAAAAACTCCTGCTGGAGTCAATAAGGTCCCATGCTGTTAATCGCACACACTTTAACAAGGTGAGATTGGACTCCAGGCTGTGGAGTCCAAGAACCTTGATCAGAGAACTAATAGTGATCACTGTAAATCCCACAGACGAAAAATTATAAAGGGTCAGCTGTGTTGTAGTGATCCGTAGAGTTGATGAAGTCATAGACGCATAACAGACAGTACTGCTGTTGGCAGAGTGCAACCCTGAACCTTCACTAACTTCACGACCTCAACAGAGAATCAGTAGAGAAGATATTGTCTGATATTGTCAAATGGGGGGTCTGTGGTCAAAACTCAGTGTACAGCTTAAATTTTCTGGATGTCTTCATACCTGAATTTTAAACTTCTAAACTCTAGGGTAGAATTAACAAATCAGCATATAAAAGAAAAAAAAATCCTTTAGGTGAGAAAAGGTACATTTTATATCTACTCAGCTGACCCGTAGGGACTATTTAAATTCATAAAATTGAGCACTAGCTTCAGCATCCTGGAAAATGAGTATCTTCAACATACGTAATAGTTTGTGGAAACTGTGGCAGCTGCGGGGTTAATAAAGAGCTATTCGCTGGATCAGAGCTTTCACGGTACTTGGAACCCTGAGAAAATACCAGGTGTTTCAAAAGCTAAAAACACTGTTTATGTTCAATGAACCTCTGGATTTGTGCTCTTTTGACACTAATTTTTTTTAACCTGTTTGAAGTTTGGAATCCTAGTGTAGGTACTACTTATGTGCTGAAGCATGGTTTTAAGATTTGTTACAGTATGTAGGTGTACTCAGTGTAAAACGGAAGGTTTGGCCTCAAAGTCCTCTTTGTATTCTCTTCTGGTATTTGTTATGGAATGTGACTTATAAAAAATGAACAGAAAGTCAAGCTCATCTCTCAATCTGAATGGAAGAAAAACAATTTAAATTTAATACCTTGACTCGTGTTCATTTTTAAAAGTCTCTAAAGATGAAAATTCAAGCTTTAGCACAAGAAGAGTTTTCCTAAAATAGTGCTTAAGACTGATTTCTTTTAATGAAATCTCATCAACACTTCGCAATAGTTGTTAAAAAAAAAAAAGAAAAGGCAAATAAAATGGTGTTAAAAGGCTGGATGCAACGGGCCAGAATAGCTGTCCACTGTTAGGGCATTACAGAGAAAAGCGCAGTCTGGAGAAAAGGCAGCCATAACTTTCTGAAGAACTGTAATTGCTTCTTTGGAACATTTTTTATCTTACATCCAAATTGTATGAATTATTTTCAATTCAAGTTACTTGCTATTAGACAGGATATTTGAAAATAATGTCATAAAGTGTTTTGATTTCCAAGGCTTTACATAAAATTGTGCAAAAATAAGCTATTTGTGAAGAAACAAAAGCTTGATAGAAATTTGAAAAATACTGCTGAAAGGGGAAGCCCTGGTATTCAGGGACATATCAATCTAATAAGGAACATGTCAATTGAGTTAGAACACTTCTGAAAGAGTCTAACTAAACAGAGACAAAATTAAAACCGAAACATGTTCAACCTAAAACGTAACATGTATGCCTTGTACAAATATATAATGGAAACATAATGCACTGTAGTGCAAATATAATTCCCTCTGACCTGTTTATATGAGGTAGAATAGCACCGAACAGGCTTTTTTTGGTCCAGTTTGGTTCTCAGTTCTCAGAAGAAGTCCTGTGTCTTTCACAATGTGACCCTAGAATGACCCTTAAAAGTCACAAGTTGCATTGAGACAAGATAACATCTACTTATTTAAGAAGAATGATATGAGTTGCAACTTGGGGAGTTCCTCTCAAGTGCCTTCAGATTTAATTATAGGACTCTGTGTGCTAAGAATTTAACAACAGTGAAAACACTTGAACTTCTGATAAAAATCAAAAAAGGTGATGATCCTGAACCTCTCCTGAAACACAGACTTCATGAGGGGGCTGCAAATATCTAAGAAATATGAAAAGAAACTTACAGAACAGAACCCTTCAATATATTGCAGTATCAGGAAGGCAAAAGGATTCTATTTTCTAATGCTTATGAAAGATTCAGCATATGTAAAAAAGCAAGAATGCAATAATGAACACTGCAGCTAATATAAACCTGCAAAATAAACCATACTACTTCATAATCATGCAAATGTGTCTTTTGAGACAATCATTGCCATTTACAGACAATATAGCGCATGCAAAGTCTCTTTTATTGTGCAGTAAATACACATAAGAAAAAGTTAAGGGAGCGCATACAATTTTGAACATATTAATTTCATTTTCTTTCAAACTGTTTTTATGATTTTTAAACAATTTAGAATATATTAAGTCTGAACTGACTCAAACAAAACTGATACATAACTTGCAATTATTTAGTACTCAACATCAGCTTTAACATTCTGCTGTACTTATTCAGAAGAAACATTTTTAATTGCACCATTTATAATACATCAGAAAGGTTCCTTTCATGAACCTAAGTGAGCTCTTGTGCTTATTTGGCAGACATATTGTATGGGGTGTATATAAAACCAGATATGCTGCATAATCCATCAATAGAAGTAAAATACTTTATGCAAGTTTATTGAAAGGTGAGATTGTCTTGCACCATCCAAATGACAAATTATCTTACATCATCACAATTCCGAATGCACAGAAGTCCACATGACAGGATGCTTTCAACAAACCATATGTAGAACGTTATTTTGCTATCATGTTAAGCTCTACATGGTTCTAACATACAATATGTACTTAATGAACATATTATTTCTATATAGATGCAGATCTAAAGTGGTGCGTCGGGAGATGGAATTATCACCTCTTGAATTCTATTATGAAATTTCATGCAAATAAAATTACTAGAGTTTTTAAGAGATTTGGGAGATTATTTCCAAATCCCAACAAAAACTATTGCAAATAAGTTCTATGATTGACAGTCACTGGAGAAGGCTCCACATAAAGACTGATGGTAGGGTCTGTATTGTACATGGAATATTCTACACAGCATCATTAGAGAAGTGGACATCAACAAGTGAAAAGGAAAATGCACAAGCAAACCAAAAGGAAAGCAAATCAACAACAATACAGTGAGCATGCTAGAGTAGCTTAACACCATCCAGAAACTGCTGTTAGGATAAAATAAAAAATATCAAATAAACCAAAACAAATCAAACCCCAAAAACGTAGATACACAGAAGATGCACCAAGGAACAGAAAAATGAACAAGTCTTTGAAGTATAACAAAAATTAGACACATGCATAGAAATGAGGATTTGCATTGTGATAGTAAGATACCAGTCTGAGGCCTAATTTACCTTCACTGTCTGACATGGCATGCTGGAAGTCATCCATGATGAAGGCTATATCTCGATCATAGCCTCGAGTCCGTGACTCCTCCCTCATATGTTGCTGGACCTCAGGTAATGAATGGCTCGATCCAAACTGGTCTCTGGTATCTGCAGATATTGGTGGCAAGGGTCCAGCTGCTGCTCTTGCCATTCCCATTGGCTGGCCAACGGGACTTAGTGGGCTCTCTTCCTCTGAGTTCTGCGCTACTATTGGGATCCTCCCCCTGCTTTGGCTAATAGGTAGACTGGTGGGCTTAGTTCTTCCAGAAGGTGCTGCATGGCTAAAGGAAACATCTAAGGGTTCAGCTTCTTGGGCTTTCAGTCTTAAAGAAGAACTGGAAGAATCCCTTTTCAATGACAAATCGAGCCCATAAACTGAGGAGGGTCTAGATGAGGGCCTAGATCTACTACCACTGCTGTAAGACTTGTCTGCTTCATCTTGTAATGTGGATCTCATTGTTGGACCTAGTGCAGTCCCAAGGCCTGCTCCAATGGATGAAGTCAGTGGTTGCCCCATGTATTTCTGTTGGTCAGTAATGTTTTTTCTAAGGCCAAAAGTGATATCATCCTGAAGAAGCCTTGCCCTAGTAGTAATTCCCCCAAGTGTTGAAGTGCTAGAAGTCATATAGCTTGAATAGTCAGGCTCAAGGTCTCTGCTTTCTTGGATAGGTGAAAACTTTGTTAGTTTGGGGTCTATCAAAGCTTTCTTGTGTTTTGACTGCTTCTGGTAAAGGAGGGCTGCTGGGAGCTGCTTAGCAGCCTGTTTCTCAAGAGTAAGCCTACCTATGCTGTATTTCTCCGATTTTGGAAAATGCCTGTAGCTGCCCTCTGCGTGGTAATACTGTGACAGGCCAGCCAGATGATCAAGACTTTCTGCACCTCTACGGAACTCTTGTTTTATCTGATGTTTCAGAAGCTTGAGCTCATAAGGATCCTCCATTGGGTCTTCATCAGCTTTAACATAGGAATGTAACCTAGAAGAAGTCTGCAGTGGTGCTAGGAAGTCTGACACTTCTTGTGCTCTCCTGGCCTCGGTTGTCCGAAGCAGTCGATCTGTTTTGGTCAGATCTTTCTCATGGAGGCTAAAACTGGAACCAAGTGCTCCCGTTCCTTTAGTAAGTTCTCCTATATCATCAATCAGCACATAATTTCGGGGTGTATGGTGGTGGTCTATATCTGCATAGAAGGAATCTGCAGATATGCTTGATATAGGGCTGCTTGCTATGCTGTTTCTCTCATCTAGTCCTATCCTTAAGTCCAAGGTAGAGTATTTACTGCCCAGCTGGGAAACGGCATAATTATTGTCAGTTGAAACTGGTGCTATCATGAGAGGCTGATTGCGAATTACATCATAGTTTGTTGTTATCTTAGGCTCCAAATATAATGTGGTTTGTCTTGGCTTTGGCTGTATTACCATCATCTGTGATGGGAGCTGATATGACGGCTGTTGAGATGGTGGAGGTTGAGCCTGTGGAGTAAAGGACATAGTAGCTCCTGTTTGGAAAGCTGTCTGGGTCTGATAGGGTGAAACCTGTTGGTGATACAAAGGCTGCTGTTGTTGGTAATGTGATTGCTGTGTGAACTGAGTTGGTGCTTGAGTTGGCAGGGCAGGAGATGAATACTGATATTGAGCATATGGGCTTGTAGCAGGGGCAAACTGTGTCTCTGGTTGGGTTTGTGGTGGCATAAACTGGTTAAATTCTGTCTGGGGTGCAGTACGTGGTCTTTCCAAGCCGTGCTGAGTTTCTATTCTGGTTGACCTGGTATTATTAACTTCACTGTCTGACATATAATCACGTTCTTCTGCTACTCCTTGGAGATAGGCACGCTCTCTCTTTTCTCTTTCTTTTAGTAAGGCTTCTTTCCTCCTATTAATGCCCATTTCTAAGTATCTCAGCTTGGCATCTATTTCTTTTTCTTCCTCATCTAGCTCTGCTTGCTTCTTCCTAAGCTTGGCTGATTCCCGTTCGACCAGATCCAATTCCCTGTCTATATCCTGAAGAATTTTGGCTCTGGCCATAGTGTTGGTCCTGCAAATCCTTCTGCGTGAAACTGATCCCACAGAAGTATATGGCGACTGAGTTCCTGCTGTTGCTTCCTCGGGAGGTGGGTTGGGTAGAGTTCTCTTCACCTTCTTTTGAGTGCCTGATGGGGTTATGCTTGAAGAACCTTTTGTCTGCAACAGAAGAAACAGGACTGAATCACTATTCTGGAGGCTTGATCGCAAATTAATCACAAGCTGTTTAAATTATTTTCACTGTATGGCCTTATATCTTAACCACGTACTTTCTCTAAAGGAGCAGAAGCTTGTGGTATCTGTGAATAAGCAGCAGAAAACGGCATGAAAAAATGCTGGCAGTGTGCTAAAGGTCAGGATAACACGCAATCTAATGCAAAATAAGGGTGACGCTCACTAGGACTTTGTTAAGCCTTTACTTTATATTCTTGAAATTGAATTGACTGTAATTTAAAAGTATTGGTTTTTTTTTTTTTAATCTCCGTATGCTTATATATAAATATATACAATATCTGTATGTGTGGGAGGGGAATATATATAGACCCATGCACGTTCCTTTTATAGAACATTTAATTGAAAAAATATATGTATAATTATAAATGTACATATATCCATATTAATATATAAATATATGTCTAATCTGTACAATCAAATAGAAATCTCTGAGCCAGACACTGAGTGCATACTGAGCAGCTATAACTTGTACTGAAATCCAGACACCAAAGCAGGACTTTCTGGTGCCAACACACTTGGTACAACAGGTAGTTCTTAGTCTACCTTATCATTTTTGCCTCACCTCTGCTGCTAGATACACATTTGCAAGGAAGATTCTTGTGTTTTACAAAAGTAGTGTGAGCTTTCTTCAGTTCATTGAAGACTTTCATAAATGAAATTTGTTCCAGTTCCAAAGTTAAACTTCAAAAGTTTAAAACTTAAAAAAAGTTAAGCAGTATAAAAATATAGGAATCTAGTTCAGTCCAGATGTCCAGACTTCCCCACAGTTAATGGTGGAAGAGTGATTCACCCTGGTCTAGAAGTATCTACCTTAGGCTTATGAGTCATTTTTTGGAGGTGCCTGTCTCTCTTCATCAACTAGGAAAGTAAGCAATGTAACTGGTTAGATGCAATCTAAATTGCACCCTAAATTACAAGGGTTTTTGAATGGTTCCTTTTAGTTTTGAAGTAAATTTAGGCTCCCACAAAATGTAGATACATTAAGAAGTGGGACTTGAATGATTTTGAAATTGTATCCTATCTCCCCAATAGCTTCTTATGAACTTTGCCTTAGTGAAGGAAAAGGGATTGGTCTATACACATACACTAAAAATAATCACCTCAGCCATTACAGAATGCAGCCATGGTAATAGCAAAATATGGAAACACTTCTAATAAGGGAAGTAAAAAGAATATTAACCAACTTGACTCTTCTGCCTCTGCAGGCAAGCACAGCACTTTAGCAGGCATTAATTGTTATTAATTACAAATGGAATTTCTTCTGAAATAAATGCTACTTCACTCAGATAAGAAGTCAACAAGATTAATTTTAATTAGGAGTTTAAAAATCACTATTTTCTCTGTTTATTCGCATATGTCATCAACAAATTGTACAAGTTTTTAAAAAGTGTTGTCAACCCTCCTTTGCAGCTCCCCTGTTACCTAACCTTAGCAAATTGCAATAGTCAACACATCATTTGTTATGGATCTTTAAAGAAACATTCACTACCTTTTCAAGTGTCATTTAAGCTCTTTTCATCCTCTTCATCTAAATTCCATCAACTTTTGCATGCTTCAGATTTCAATATATGCAATTTAATTTTGTTTTCAGCTTCCTGTGGCCATTTCCCAAACCCATGTTGTGCCAACAAATCAAAGAAACTAATTTTCTCTAGCTCAGTGTGTACTTATAATCAAAGAGAAATTAATAATCTACAGTAGGTCTAGTTGGCTATTAATTTATACTGTAAATTCAGTCCAATGCCACTGTTATTTCCCCCTCCCAAAGTGAAACAGCAATCACAGATGGTGAAGCAGTCACAGATGGTCACTGGTATTGGGGAAGAGCTATTAATAACCCACTCATTAAAAGGTCTATAGTACTTTATCCAATTATTATTTTCAGATGACAGTTAAGTTGCTAATGAATAAATCCCAATGTCAGCTTATAATGCATTTTATCAGAAAAACATATCTTGTTTTTATATTTTTGTCTACATATAAAGCAGCTCAGACTAATAGACACTACCACTTGCTTTTGAAAAAGTATTGATAACCTCTAGTTCTCAGCTGCTGTTCTCATAAAAGGCAAGTCTTAATTATTTTTACTTGATATTTACATTGGGATAAGAAAAAATAAATATGATATTTTAGTACTGTGATAAAATCTGTGCGTTTTTTTCTTCTTCCTGGATATTCTCATCATCAGTTATGTTAGCATGCTACCTGGGAACTGTGTTAATAGATTTAAGGGAAGTTCAACTGCAGTATTTTGGCAGATAACTTTAGAGTAGTTGTTAAATTTAGTTTTTGCATTTCCTTTGAATTTGTTAACTAGCAAGGAAAAAAGACAAGCTAGGGCTGATCTTCCCCTAATTCTAATATCTTTAGCACAAAGAATCGGGAGTGGAAAGAAGTAATTGTGCTGTTTAGCCCTATCCCTGTATTTTTGGTCCCTGTAACACATTTCTAATGTTATGCTCATTTTAGGTTTAAAGTATCCAAAGGAAAGATGGGGCAGAAACCTTCATGAGACTACTCTGGAGCCAAATAAAAAAACCTATCAAATACAGGCAGGCATTCTTAGCCCTTAGAAGTACTGGTTAAAGGTTAGGTTAGATGTCAAACAGGTGACCTTAGCAAGCTCTCTGACTGAATAAGCCATGAAGTTTTCTACCATATTTTATCACATTTTCCATCTTCTTCATTCTAACCCTTTTACTTCTAGCTATCTACTATCACCCTCACTAATTTAAAAAAATCATTCTGTATTTAGCAAATTGTCCTGGTTTCAGCTGGGATAGAGTTAATTTTCTTCTTAGTAGCTGGTATAGTGCTCTGTTTTGGATTTAGTATGAGAATAATGTTGATTGATAACACACTGATGTTTTAGTTGTTGCTAAGTAGTGCTTACAGCAGTCAAGGACTTTTCAGCTTCCCATGCTCTGCCAGGTGCACAAGAAGCTGGGAGGGGGCACAGCCAGCACAGCTGACCCAGACTGGCCAAAGGGCTA